GCTGCCTGTAAGCAAAAGGTCACAAGCCCATTTGAGGTCATTGACCTTGTTTGACCCTTTGAAGGTCATGGTGACCAAAATGATACAAGACTGCTCTGCGTTTTGCATTCGAATAAGCGACACAGATTGCGCTAGGCAGTAGGTTTCTAAAACAAAACGTTCGACCCGGGCCATCTTAGGTCCATAGCCTGTCCTGACCTCTGAGAAGTCAATTGAAGATCCATGATGCAGTTCCTGCTGCCAATAAATTCGAATTCAGCACTAGAAACTATTTCATACAACAAGCCCTGGAGTTATAAATCAGGTTGGTTTTGACCTTAATATGACCATTATACCTGACCTTAGATCAACGTAGTTTGCTCATTCAGTATTTGTGGTGCCTAGGAAAGCATCTCAGAGATGTATGTCTTCGTCAAACACTCCGATGTTGTATCAGATTGAACGGTTCCCTAGGAATTACCTTCACGGAAACCATGGGCTGACCGACCTGGCATAGGTCAGCGACCTTACAAGGTATATCTAAAATTGGTATGGCAAACGATCCGCCATGCAATTTTCTACAGCTTTGCAAAATGTGGCGCAACTACGCCGCGCCATTCAGAAACCATTCGGGAAAAGCCCTCGGGGGGGGGGGGGGGAGGCGGGCAATATGCCCCCACCCCCACCCGAGCGCGTGTTAATGTATTCTGTCTCACTTTAATGGCCTAAGATGTTAAAAAACGAAATAGCTTTGTCAGTTTCCTGATATTACGTACATGCCAACTTGAAATAGATGTCTTTGTTTGCTGAAACGGCATTCACTAGCTCATAAGCTCCATCCTTTGTTAATTAATTTTTTACTCCCGCACGGTCTTTTAGCGATGGAATTTTTCACTCCCACCCTAGTTTAGAAGCGATTCTAGCTCCCTGGGTATCTAGCTGGCCAACCGAGCGCGTGTTAAAATATAGTCATTTCATGACAGTATTATGAGCATACCAAAGTATTATCACCAATAATTTGATGCTGCACTTTTCAGTTCCCTTCCACAGCGCTTTTAAAACAAAACAAAGCAAAGGAATTCAGTAACAAAATAACAACAGAAAATGCAACAGGCATAAAACAATCAAGCAAAAAACCTTGGACTCCTACACATCAGCCCATCACCAAGCCGAACACAATATACATACTTCTGGCTTCTGTTAAGATGGGGCAGGGAAGACAACATTTTGTCACTGTTTCTCACAAAATACCAATGCTTATTTCCATGAAAGTAGCCTATGCCTGCCCTAAAGAGGCCTTACATCATCTCATCCTGTATAACCTGCTTGTATCACAGCAGCAGTTGTAACTTACTGATTCTTGCACAATTCTTGCGGCCACTTGCCACGCACTTGACCAACTTAACCTAACTTAGAGTAGCCCACATGATGAACATCATCTCAACTCACCCATCTGTAGACAGGGCAATTGTGATAAAAACATGATGCTTAAAGCTGGTTTTTTACTTGTTTCAACTTGCATTTTTGTTCGGTTCATTGTGTATGCTTGTTGACATCAGACAAAGTCGACAACACACAAATCAAAACACTTTAAATCACTTTGAACAACTTATTTTGATTGCCATGGCCAACCTATGTCAAGGGCAATAATGGGTGTGCTCCACAAAACACTCCCTCTTCTCCAAAAGTAACATAGCTTTTAGATATTCATGCCAGTATTGCTGCCTGCCTTTTCAGCTGCAGCAAATGCATCCATTTGGGTTTGTTTATTCATATTTAATGACAAAGTTGGAGAAGTTGGTTTCACATCTGAAATGGGGTGGTCTGACTATTTGCTACATATCAATATTTAACTTATGTTATAATTGCTATGCAGCTTAGAGTATCCTTGTGTTAAAAATATAGTGTATATATACAGCAGTCATTTGCTGGTCAGCAAACCATGGCAACTATAGAGAACATCTGGTTAAAGCAGCCATGAGGGACCACTTAAAGAAATTTGGGGCAAGTAACCAAGAATATGGAACAAAATAAGCTTGCGGCATCATAATTTGTCTTATGGCAAAACTCGACGCATTAAAACAGAAAATGGCGAACTCTGGTTTCCTTGCTCATGTCTATTGTCCTTGCTACCTACCTTACCTTGCTTGCATCATGCGTTGAAAGCAGGTAAGGTAAGCAATTACCTGGTCCACAGGAGACCTACTGGCTTCTTCCTGCTCCCCCCAAAGCAAAAATTCAGTACCTTTTGCATGGTCTGCTGGCAGGCAGAGTCATCTGACTCACCCCCAAATATAGATTTCAATCATGCTCACCAAACTTCGAGATTAAAAGGCAGAACAAGTAAGAGGTGTGCACGATAAACATCTCCAGAGGGCAGAATTTCGCCATCAAACACTTCTGCATTAGCTGCGTCAGCTCTGTTCCAACTCTCTGTATCGCAGCCTTGCCTTGCCTTGATAGCCTTGCCAGGTAGCCTAGTGAGTCAGACACTCGAAAGGCTTGGATTTATCACTATTGAGCACCGCCATGAACCAAGAAAACGGTTAACCGGAGGTTTAAGAGGGCAAAAATGGCGGTAAAATGTTCCGTGCTTCAAATTGTCTTCTTCATTCCATGTGAATTGTTCACGCCTGAGTGCATATCAAACATGTTTGGGCGACTGGCGAATAAATCCAATCTATGTATGAAATACGTACAAGCTTGAGTTGGAGCATCTTGCAGAGAAATTGGTGAACATTTTAAGAGGCAGATGGTACCTTTAAAGACAACCGAAAAGGAAGGAGAATGAGGTGGTATCACACTAGTATGATACCAAGAAAAACAAAAATAGCTAAATAAATATACAGGCTGGTACTTTGTAATGAGACGCCAAGTATTTCACCAAAACTTCTCTGTATTTTAGTCTCGCACCGCAGCAGCCCCTGACGGTGCACCTACCCTCTGCTCTCCCCACCGCGACCCCCGACAGTGGGGGCCGCGAGCCGGGGCCGTGCGAACTGTGGCGGCGGCGCGCATCTGCCGCGCAGCCGGGGCCGGCCTGGGCGTGGCGCATCGACCGCGCAGCCGGGGCCGGCCTGCGAAGCTGACCATCTACCGCTCCCTGCCCCAGCATGGGCGCGGGACGCAAAGTACAACTGCACTACGAACACCCCACCCTGATCCTAATGATCAACAAGTACACAATCATACGGGCCTTCGCTTTCGTCCGCTCCGACGCAGCAACACTCGCTCGTCACCGTCGCCTGTCACACCGGCGCCATTATCAGCAGCCACACCGGCACTATCATCAGCATCAGCAGCATCCCAAAAATGATCAGCATCAGCAATCCCTCCGGCCACAGGCACCCTCACAAACAAACTATCATTGTCATCCGCGCCTCCGTCACCGGCTTCGCCTGTCTCGGCAGCACTATTGCCCCTACGACACAAAGTTCGTACATGCCACGGTACGTCGTCAATATCCACCACTTGGTCTGAAATAATGCCTGACACTTCTCCTGGCTGTGACGTTTCCGTACACCGCGTCCCCGACGACGAACCCAGACAGTATCTCCAACAGCATACCGATCGGTGTCACATGGTTCTCGCGGCTCGACAATCACCGGCTGATCAGCAGCGGGCCCCATACAATCCCGCACAGGGTACACATAGCGGCCGCCGGCGCACGGGCCGCAGTCTCAACGTCACGCGGCGTCACGTTCGACAGGTGCACCGCCTCGGCGACAAAGCACTGCTTCCTGGCGGCAATGACCTTGACAGCGCGATGATTTCGCTCAACAATGCCGTTGCCGCCAGGCTCATGCACGGCTCGGAACCGCAGACAAATACACCATCGTGCCGCGAATGCCTGAAACTGCATGCTTCGAAAGACGGTGTCACTGTCGCACAACAATTCCACAGGCGCACCTCTCTCCAGGAAAGTATTTTCCAGCAGGTCAACGGCAGAGCTGGTATCACGACGGCGAATCAGCCGCCACAAACTGAACCGAGATGGTCCACAGTTCACCACTGAGAGGTAGCACTGCCCCCGAAAGTGAGTCACGTTGATCGCCAGCCGTGACCACACATCCTGCACGTCCAGCAATCCGTGTGACCAAGTCACCGGCGCTGGGTCGATAGAACGACATGTGTCGCAGCGATTCACCACACTTCTCACCTGTGACCGAGTCACTGTCGACGAAACGTCGCGCCGAGCACAGAACTGCGTCCGTCGGATCCCTGGATGACCGGCACGAGCGTGGATGTCACCGATCGCCATCTCAAGGTCGGCGCGACCGTCTGTCGCCTGTTCGGTGGAACCGTCCGTGGGTCCCATGCCGACTCCGTGACCATCAGTCGTCGCCCGATCTGCTACGACCGCACAGCCTCCGACCAGCGTCGTACGCTCCAAGGTTGAATCGTCACGCAACCAGTGGCAGTCCCTCGGCACACGGCTCAGCACGTCGGCATGATTCTCAGCACCGGGTGACACGCCGCCCGCCGCGCTCACGTCACTCGCCGCTCTCTGTCCCCGGCCATGGCCGGCCGGCTCGGGTGACACGGCGGCGGCTGCGCTCACATCACAAGCCGCCGCCATTACCGGAGACGCCGACCCAGCCGGCAGTGCATCGACCCCGAACTGCACTGCATTCGACGCACTGACGGACACGCCCCGAAGCGCCCTCACGCCGTTCATTCCCAGAATGAACCCGAAGTTCAGCGGCCTACTGACAGTTACAAGCACCTCTATTCGGGCCGCACCCAACACTGTGCTCACAGTCACTCGCCCGGTACCCTCGCACGTGTAGCTGTCTCCACCCAGGGTCACCACATTAACTGGCTGCCTTCTCCAGCGGCGACAAACAGAGACGTGAGCAATGGACACGGAACAGCCGGTGTCCACCAGCGCCTGACATTGGGTGCCGTCCACTGTCAGCCGCGCGGTGGGTAGAGCGCCGTCTACTGCAGGGCTGGAGAGGAGGCTGGCGCTGACGCCACCTCTCCGGCGTCGTTTCCCGGACGGCACGAGGCCACGTGACCTATCCGGTCGCACCGGAAGCAGCGTCTTCCTCCTCCCTGGCGTCCATCAGCACCGCGTCGTCCATGCCCACGGCCTCGACCCAGACCGCTGAGACAGTACCTGGACAGGTGGTTGGCCTGTCCACAGGTGAAACAGGTGAAACTTGTTGCCGTCGATCGCCCTCGCTGAACTGCCGCTGCCGCGACCTCTGCTGCGCCGTCCTCCCTGAGGACCGCCCGCGCCCTCTCCACCAGGTTCGGCAACGACAGGCCTTCGAGGCGAGCACCAGCGCGCAGCGTGCGCCTGGTAGCGTCGGGCAGCCCAGCAACAAAGGCACAACTCATACCCTCGTCGCTGAGGCCGCCGAACACCGACGCCAACTGCTGCAGGTCCGCCAGGTAGACGTCTACCGGCTCACCTGCCCTTAGCCGGCGCGCGGTGAACAGCTCGTAGGCCACGAACTTGTCGACCCCGAATGCCGTCCTCAGGGCGTCCTTGACCTTCTTCGCGTCCTGCCGGTCCTCAGTTGGCAGCTGCCTGTACACGGCTGAGGCGCCGCCCGTCAGCCGCAGAGCAATCACTGACGCCCCGCACGCTGGAGGCTCTTGCAGTCCACAAATCAGCTCCACTTTCTCAAGCCAGTCCACCACATCTGCATCACTCGTACCGCTGAACTCTGGTATCAGTCTCACATGAAATCCGGCGGTCATTTTGCCGAAATAACTTGTAATGAGACGCCAAGTATTTCACCAAAACTTCTCTGTACTTTAGTCTCGCACCGCAGCAGCCCCTGACGGTGCACCTACCCTCTCTGCTCTCCCCACGGCGACCCCCGACAGCGGGGGCCGCGAGCCGGGGCCGGCCTGCGAAATGCGGCGGCGGCGCGCATCTGCCGCGCAGCCGGGGCTGGCCCGCGAACCTGACCATCTGCCACTCCCCGCCCCAGCAGGAGCGCAGGACACAAAGCACAACTGCACTACGAACATGCTTTTCTCGCAAAATTTTGTAATCAGCTGATTTGACTTAAAATCTGTTAACTTAAGTGCTCAAATGGTGATACTCATCTTGTAACTTTAAATTTGAAGACATTTCTTGAACTTTTCACTCATGTTTTTCCGGAGTGATGCAATTTAGTGGTCGAGTTTCCTCGGGAAAAAAGAAATACGTGGAGTAAAATTCTCTACCAGGCTTTGCTAATGTTTGCACCAGGCTCTGCTTTCGTGGCGTGGTGGCGAGACAAAAAAAAAAAGAACAAAAAAAGGAAGGGGATGCGTGAAAACCTTGTATTTGGCGCACAGCTGCAGATTGTGATGCATTTTAAAAACAAACTAAACTTAATGGGTGCAGGCGGCTGGGGTCGCTGCGGTTCTTGGGCTTGGAGGTGCCTGGTGCCCTTGCTTTGCGCATTCATAGACATGATTCAGATGTAGGTGAGGCAGGACATAGCCATAGGTGTCCAGGTTCTGCGGAGCCTCGTTCATGCTTAGTGGTTTCAAGTGCGCTCGGTTTTGGATGACATCTGAAAACCGGAGAAAGGGAAATAGGGATTTGGCATGTGCGATTAGACAATGCCAGGCAGGAGAGAAAAATTCGCATAAAATATGGGGAAAAGGAGTGAAACATTCCTCCTCATAGGGTGTTGCTTTACTCCCAAAGTCGGCAATTGTAGGACTCTGGTCATAAGGCGCCGCTGATCCCAGGGTAATATAAAGTCCAGGCCAGCCACAGTCGGACGGCGCCGTCATGAGGCGCCGCTGATCCCAGGGTAATATAAAGTCCAGGCCAGCCACAGTCGGACGGCGCCGTCATAAGGCGCCACTGATCCCAGGGTAATATAAAGGCCAGGCCAGCCACAGTCGGACGGCGCCGTCATAAGGCGCCACTGATCCCAGGGTAATATAAAGGCTAGACCAGCCACAGTCGGACGGCGCAGTCATAAGGCGCCACTGATCCCAGGATAATATAAAGTCTAGGCCAGCCACAGTCGGACGGCGCAGTCATAAGGCGCCACTGATCCCAGGATAATATAAAGTCTAGGCCAGCCACAGTCGGACGGCGCCGTCATAAGGCGCCACTGATCCCAGGGTAATATAAAGGCTAGACCAGCCACAGTCGGACGGCGCAGTCATAAGGCAGACTTGCCACAGTCGGACGGCGCCGTCATAAGGGGAGAAAATGTGGCTGAATGCACGCTTCCAGCATCAGATGCCGTTGTGGGAGGGAAATTCTTGCGTGGAGATATTCCAGTCGGATACATTATAAGGGTCTCGTATCATGCTAAGTGGGTGCCAAACCGCGCGGTCGCATCTACAGCTCCCCAGGACCAGCGAGATGCCCACTGTGCTGAAGAACGAGGGCCGGGGAGGGGAAGGCTAATGGACGCTGAGAGGGGGGGGGGGGGGGGGGGAGGGAGGCGACGGGCACGGAGGTCGACCACGTCATTTCAGGGGAAACGACTAAGCGTCATCCCTATAGCTTTGCGTGGTGTGAATGTGTGGGTTGTGCGCCCTCGCCCTTGCTGTCTTCCGAGCCCTGCATCTGACTGGGTGCCGGGGGGCGTCACGTGACCGCGAGTCTCCCGATTCGCCGGGGGTCAGGGGTCGGCCGCTGAGGCGGCAGCAGGGACCCGACGCTCGCAGGCGCTAGTCGGTTTTTGGGCGAGTGCGGGCGGGTGCGTCGCTACGTTCTCTTACGCTTTGTGTAGGAAGAAATGAGGTAAATATTATATCTCCCATTTCCTCAGAGGATCAACCGGCGCTGGAGCAAGTACGTACACTAAAAATCTGCGTATTGCCAAAAGATCAGCTGGCACCGGAACAGCTACATACACTGAAGATCTGCGTATTGCCAAAAGGGGCTGTCTGGCAACCCTCTAGCCTCTGAAACTACCCCACAAAACGCATCATTCGGGTATCATCCTTAGCAACGAAAGGCAGCCATGTATTTTGAGTGTTTTCATGATCGCACCAATGATACCCGTGATACCATACTTCCAATCTTATTTCGCAACGAGGCATCGGCACGGGAGCTATCGCATTATGTGGAAGGGGCGGAGGACTGAACAGTGTTAGATTATGCAACATATCCCCAAAATATGCATATATGTCTCAGGATAGCACGCTTCTACAAAAAGTTGGGAGCACACGGGGCTGGGGGTGCTGGAGTCCAGAACTGAACAGGAAACTAGGATACAGCTCTCACACCTCTGATTTGAAGACCTATATTACTGGTAACCATGCTCAGTAACAGACGAAGGAAAATGGATAGGTTGACACTTACAAAGAAATAGTTTCACCTCCCGTCCCGCCTTTCCACGAGGAGTGCCATCAGCCTCCAACACGAAACCCACGGCTGTTACCAAAGCGCGGGTGGCTGAGCGCTTGCGACTACCAGAATGAGCCAGCAGCCTGTCCTGTGTCTTGAAAAGACAGCCTGGATAATCACAGGGCTGTTCCTACCTCGATCGGACCATCTCGCCGACCTATCCTGAACTGTCAATGCCTCTCGTCACTGGGGATAAAATACTGAGGGGCAGCATCGCCAATGAAGCCAACAAGGCTCAAAGCTTAAATCCAGGCAGGTGTCAATGAAACTGCAATGTGAACACCGCTTCCAAAGTCGCAATGCATTGAGTTCCACCGTCAACCTCATATCAGTTGCATTGTAACGATTAAAACGTGCTGTTGCGGCCATATGAATCACCATATCATGGTTTTTTCTGTATGTTCTGCTCCCAAGTGTGGTGCACTGAATGCTGGCTGGTAAGAACGCCGTGTCGGCCGACCGGGCGGGTCATAGGAAATAGATTGACTCGTCACTAATCGGCCACAGAACCGAGCGACCAGCCAAAAATGATACGAGATTTTCGTCGCAGGGCTGGGATGAAACCTAAAAATGATGCCACCGTACCATAGGGTACAGTAAAGGGTTTTTAAGGAGGCTTGCTGATGCTGCGTGACGAAATGTATTACCGTGGAGCCTATGTTTGATAAGGCATTGTGCGCTATCGTGCATATTAGCAAGCAAGCAAGTAAGCCATATTAGCGTACATATTTTGTCGCGGCCATCAACAAAGTCTTCGGTCAAAAGCATTTTTAGCTCATGCGTTGCATGCAAGTATGCATTTTTGTCGCCGACATCATCGACCAAGTCGGTGCGTTTTACCAGCTCCAACCACATGGCGTTTTCGGACCAAGCTGTCCACGTTCCATACGCACAATGATACTGACATACTGGTGCGGAATTGTACCACCCGTTCAAAAGCTGGCGATGTTCAAAGGAACAGCTGTCATGTGGCAGGCATCAGTGTCGATGCAGGCACCTACGGCTTACAAAATGCGTCGTTGACACGGCAAGCTTTGTACGGCAACTTGTAAGCTCTCATCACTTCCCACAATTCGATGATAACGAGCTCTCGAAAAACAAAATGATCGTATTTACAGGGTTGTCATTTCATTATAGACGGCAGGATACCCGGCTAGAGCTCTGGCCGCTGATGTGACACTGACGACTCCACTGACGCGACAATTACAAACTCAATCCAGTTGCATAGCTTGAAAATCAGACCATTACAAAGCCAGCAGTGACGAGATAGCTACACAGAGCCGACGCCATGTGCCGCATTTTCTAGCCTGGTCGGCAGGGCGCTCGGAGCGTTATTCCGCCATGGAACGCTCAGTGCGCCTTCCTGCCATAGGGCGCTCTCCCGGCACGGAACGCTCTGTGCGTTCTCCCGCCGCGAAGCGCTCAGTGCGTCCTCCCACCTCGGAGCGCTCGGTGCGGTCTCTTGCCACGAAACACTCAGTACGTTCTCCCACACTATGACACAAGCGGCACTTGGTAACTAGCCCGTGGAGTCTACTACACTAATTCGGCGTTGCGTACAGGTTGCGAAGGTCTGAGTAGAAGCCGTAGCTGTCGAAGTTGGGGTTGTCGAAGTCGGGCGTGGTGGGCGGGAAGCCTCGGCCCCGTGGATCCGCTGGTGGCATTGCATCCCTGAAGGAAACCCTGAACGCGTTTTGGTGGGGCTTGCTGCGATGCCCAGCCACGATGCTGTCGGGGATGAAGCTGTTGGCGTCGGAGAGCGACGCTTCCTGTCTGAGCGGGCCTCTGCCGGGCTCCCTCTGCCCCCCGAAGGCCGCTCTGTCCCCTGTGTTCCTGAACGGTCCGTTGACTGGGTGCCGACCTCTGCCGGGGGACACGTGATCTCGAGCGAAATCGCGATGCCTCGACGCAGGCGTCTGTTGGCGGACGGCACCACCTTGCGGACGCCCGCCACTGCTGACGGGCCCGTGGCGGACTCCAGGGAAGCGCGGATCTGTGTTAAAGGCCCTAAACGCTCCGTCTGGTCCCCTGCGGCCTCCAGACGCCGGCCTGCCCGCTGGGAACCGTCGAGAGTTCTGGTCATGCGGATGCTGGCCGAAGCCCTGCCGTCCCTGATCACCTTTGACGACCAAGCTACCATCATAGATAAGTGAATCTTGGACATTGCCGACGGGCGCCTTCTTCACAA